AATATAGGCATGAAAAAAAGAGAAACCTGCACCCATCATTGGTAAACATCCCCTGCCCATGGATTGACTACAGCACGTTTATGTAGTGCTTTCTGCATTTTGTAAATGTGCACAATTTTTTTTTCTGAATGTGCTCACAAGTATCCATAAATGTGCGGATTCAAGAACATAAATTGTGTGCGGCCCAGCAGTAGTCTCAAAAGGGTGGATGGAAAAAAAACTACACAAAAGTCTTGCAGAGTGGATTCTTCGCACATACTGTATTCCGATTCAGTATTGTGGCAGCTATTCAGCTTGATTAGAAGAGTTTGCTCAGCAGTGTCACCTGCTGGTTTCTCTTGGCAAAACTAGAATTTTTAAATAGTTACTTAGAGCAATGGTAAAAAAAATACACCACTGTGCCCAGTTTTGCCTGAGGTGGTCTTAGGAGTGGGTGATCTGAGACGATGTGCCAAGCTTAGGTAAGCGCTATGTTCACTTGTCTGGGCTGCCAGTTTTGCCTGAGGTGGTCTTAGGAGTGAGTGATCTGAGAGGATGTGCCAAGCTTAGGTAAGCACTATGTTCACTTGTGTGGGCTGCCGAGCTGAGCTCGGGCTGTGATTTTAAGGTACAGTGGTGCCTCTTTTGACGACGTTAATTCGTTCCAGTGAAATCGCTGTAGAGCGAAAACGTCAAACGAAACAAACACCCCCATTGAAACGCATTGAAAACGCATTCCAATGCGCTGAATACCTGCTCGTCCAGCGAAGATCCTCCATACAGCGGCCATTTTCGGTGCCTGTAAAGCGGGGAATCCATCCTAGAAAACAGCTGGGGGGGGGATTTTGACAGCCGGCGGCCATTTTGAAACCCGACGATCAGCTGTTTGCTGATCATCGTAAAGCGAAAAATCGGTTCCCGAAACAGGGACCGATCATCGATCGTAAAGCAAAAAATCAGTTCCCGAAACGGACCAATCATCATAAAACGGATTTTTCCCTATTAAAACCTCATTTTGCGATTGCTTTTGCGATCACAAAAACTTCACTGTTCCGAAACGGACCAATCATCATAAAACGGATTTTTCCCTATTAAAACCTCATTTTACGATTGCTTTTGCGATTGCAAAAACTTCGCTGTTAAGTGGATTCATCGTTAAACAGGGTAATCGTCCAGCGGGGCACGACTGTACTGCTAGCAGTGAGTTAAACAGGGTAAAATATAGAAATTGCTACAAAAAAGAGACTTGGTTAAACTTAGACCTGTGATAGTACTGCTGCGTGGAGTAGTGCATGACCACTGCTTAAGAATCTAGCATTTGGAACTGAGATTGTGTAAACTGTAGCACAACCACTGAGGAATCGTAGTTCTGAGCAATGATAGCCCCTTTTTGAGAAGGATCTACACCACATGACAAATAGTTCATTAGGATCCTAGAAATAGAGTGGTCCAGCAGCAAATAAGGGGTAAAGGGGAAAGCCAGGTGTAGAAGGACCACCACACAGCCCTGTTTCACAGTCCTGTTACCAATTTGGTAACAACGCTTCAAAGCTGCTGTGTGTCTGGGGGACCCCCAACCAAAGCATAAAGGAAAGGGGAAAGCCCAGGTGTAGAAGGACCACCACACAGCCCTGTTTCACAGTCCTGTTACCAATTTGGTAACAATGCTTCAAAGCTGCTGGGTGTGTGTGTCTGGGGGACCCCCAACCAAACACCTACTCATGTTCCCTGACCCCTCTGGGTGACCTCGCAAAGCTCTACATGGTGGATAACAAGCCAAGGGCACTCTTTGCCCAAGGTGCAATTCATCCTTGTGTGAGCCTTGATGGTCCTCTTGGTAGCAGAATCCAACCTTGTACATAGGACTTTTTGAAGGGTTTTATGTGTCCTGAACCCTACAGAGATATGGTTTGGAAAGGCTAGTAGATGTCTTCATGATACAATGTTGTTGTGGGTTTTCCAGGCTGTTTGTCTCTGTTAAGGTTTTTCTTCCCAATGTTTTGTCACTCTCTGCGGCTGGCATCTTCAGAGGACAGGAGTCAGATCTCTATCTGTTGGATGGTCCTCTTGGTAGCAGAATCCAACCTTGTACATAGGACTGCTAACAGGGCAGATATCTGACCATGCTAGTCATTTGACTGTTGTGGACTCAAATCATTCAATTAGTTATTCTCAAGAGAAAAAGAAGAGGAGAACATTTTGAAGGACTCTGTCCATGCTCTGTTGCTGTTTGTTGGATAGTGAGTATTTATAGCTGTGGGAACAGTTTTTGTCCTTTTCAGGAGATTGGGTGATTATGGTGATCAGCGTATTTTTGTTGTGTGTGTTTTGTTGTGATAAGGGGGAGAGATTATCTGTCACTGTGATTGATGGGTATCATTAGCTGATCTTTCTGTGCGGTGATCACTGGTCCTTGTGGCTAGGTAGAGTTCGTTGACCTTTTGCAGGCTGTATTTTTCAGTGCGAGGAGCCAGGCTTTGTTGAGTTTTAAACTTTCTTCTCTTTTGTTGAAGCTGTGCTGGTGTTTGTGGATTTCAATGGCTTCCCTGTGCTGTCTAACATAATGATTGCTGATGTTTTCCAGTATTTTGAAACAGAATTTCATGTCAAGCTTGTTTTAGGGCATGTTCAGCTACTGCCAAAGAGTCCGGGAAACCCACAACAACCATCGGATCCTGGTTGTGAAAGCCTTCAAGAATACATCTTCATCATACTTTTTGTACAAACCATTTCTTTATTTAAATGACAGATTCAGGGAGAGAGAAACTCACTGACTTTTGTAATATTTTGTTTCACATGCATATTCTCGTTATGCTAGGAATGGGACAGAGATACATTATCAGTGGTTAGGCAACACTTGGATGGCAGTTCCATAAAGAATTCTTAAAAAGACGCACAGCTGTGTTGACAAAGGAGCAACTTTTCACCAAGATTAACTTGGCCTTCGACATATGACAAATATACAGTTTCACAAAATGCGGTATTCTTTCAGAACTTCATCAGTATTTATGAGTGAAGAAAATAGAATGAGGAAAACAGAACGTGCTCAAACTGATATCTGCTCTACAAGATTGTAAATCTCTCATTCGGCATGTTATTTTTATGGGCCAAAAGTGGAACACACTGGGATTGCCGTTTAATATTTTCTTGCATTCTTTTCATTTTATTTCCTTTTTCTTGCATTCTTTTCATTTCATTTCCTGGCTGAAAGCCTTACATGGCTTTATATACATACTGTACTTGTAATATATATATTACAAGTGTCTGCTAAACAAGTAGAGCAGATGACTACATAGTGCTATCGTGAAAGAACTATAAGTGCTCATTATTCTTATTTTTCCTCTTATTTTGCCATTTGTTTGTCTTGCTTACCCTTTTGAGCTTGCAGATTCTATAGTTTATATTTTAGCTACATCGGAATCAGTGATGCCCACTGGTAAGTTTCTGTCCTGCAATTAAAGTGCATGTGTAATGTTTTGTTTAAAATGTGTTTTATTCCTAATAGATCTTCCATGCATTGTGATCTTCCAAGCAGATTCCATAGCTTGCAATTTCGCACCGTCTATATATAGATGGATGGCCAACATAGACATTTGGCTGTCACCATTCAAGACCATTAGCAATTGCATGAAACACTTTTTAAAGTAAATTGCCCTCCCCATGCAAATAAGAAGGATGGGTAAAAGGTAAAGGTAAAGGTTCCCCTTGACATTTTAGTCAGTCGTGTTCGACTTTAGGGGGCAGTGCTCATCCCCGTTTCCAAGCCATAGAGCCAGCGTTTGTCCAAAGACAGTTTCCGTTGTCACGTGGCCTGCGCGACTTATACCCGGAATGCTGTTTTACCTTCCCACCGAGGTGGGCCTAGCTGAAGAGGAATGTATTTGGCTGACAACTGAAGGACAAGAGAGAAGGGGCCAACCTGGCTTCTTGAGGCTCTCTCATGTCCTCATCAATCAAGCTTGGGAAAGTGGTGGAATTGAGAAAAGGCCTTCCAGGAAGATCTTAAAAGCTGAGAAGGCTCATATGGGGTGATAGTTAAAGGTAAAGGTTCCCCTTGATATTTTAGTCAGTCATGTTCGACTCTAGGGGGCGGTGCTCATCCCCGTTTCCAAGCCGTAGAGCCAGCATTTGTCTGAAGACAGTTTCCGTTGTCACATGGCCAGCACGGCTATACACGGAATGCTGTTTACCTTCCCACCAAGGTGGTACCTATTTATCTACTCACATTTACATGCTTTCGAACTGCTAGGTTGGCAAGGAGCTGGGACAAAACGACGGGAGCTCACTCCGTCGTGTGGATTTGATCTTACGACTGCTGGTCTTCTGACCCTGCAGCACACAAAGGCTTCTGCGGTTTAGCCCGCAGCTCCACCACATCCCACAAGAAGGATGGGAGACCTCAGTTAATACAATGGAGCAAGCACCCTGTGCTAGTAATTTTCTTTTAAAAAAAACAAGTCACCGACTAGTTGCATGAATACTATTTCACTGTTTTCCACCCTCAAAAATGCAATGAGGAGGAAAGATTGTTAGAAAGTAGATCATTGGTGGTGAGTTTGCAAGAGACACATTTGATATTATACAGGAAAAATACATGAAAGGAGAATTTGGAGTGCTGTAATCATCAGAAATCTAAGAAATCTAAGAAAAAGGTCATTTGTTTTTGCTGTTGCAGAATTATTCAAATTAGAACCCAAAGGCACAGCCCTAGCCCTAACCCTAACCCTAACCTTTCATTAGCTATTGTGAATGTTTTCCTGCATTGGTTGGCTATTGATGCTTTTCATCTGCTAAGTGTTGGTTCATATCAAAAATTATGCTCTTCACTGAAGTTAAATAATCTTTGCTGTACTTTATCAATATGCTATGTTTATTGCATTTTACATGACTGAGGTTTGATGACTCAATGAAAAGCATCTGCAGTTTTGCTAGTAATTGTCCTAGAATATGAATATCATTGGAATATATGAAATTATTTGGAGCAAATCCAACTTTTGTGGTAACATCAACTATCATTGTAGGCAAACTGAAGATGTGGTTGGGTCCAGTTCTCATATGCTTCCTCTGTGGCTCTGAGTTAGTTGAAGGAGCAATTCTGCATGGAAAAGTTAATATTGAAGCCACTCTCAATGCAGTAAGTGATTTCTCAGTAAAACTGCCTTTGAATATTGAATAAGAAAACAGTACGAAAGTGTTTTGTTAAATTGTTGTGAAGTCAGAATTAATATGGCTCATGGCTTACCCATGAAATTGCCTTTTTACCTTTTGACCTATTATTTACCTGCACCATTTGAAGAATTACTAAGTAGAGAATTACTTTATTTGATAGTTATCTGTAGAGATAGCTCTTCTTTTTGTATATTTCAGTTCTTGAAGCTGCAATGGTTGGGAGCAAATAATTACAAATAAGAAGTTATTGATAATTCATTATTTTTGCTAAATATTGAAGATATACCTAAGAGTATAGAAACAGAGTGCTAGTTTTAAGCCAAACCCTAAGTGACCTGGGTCCAAGCTATCTCTAGGACCCCCACCTCCATTTATGAACCTGTCTTTGTGCTAAGATCTTCATGGGAGACCTTTCTCTCAATACCACCACCTTCAGAGATGCCTTGGGCCCAAGAGATGGCCTCCTCTATTGCTTCTCCCAGACTTTGGAACTTCATTTCACGAAAGGCGAGTTTGGCCCCATCTCTGCTGTCCTCGTGCAAGTGGACAAAAACCTTTCTCTTCAGCCAGACTTTCTATAATTTTTGTCTATATTTGTATGTTTTTAATTATGTATCTGGAAGCCACCTAGAGTGGTTGCAAGACCAGATGGGCGGGGTATTAAATGAATGAATGAATGAATGAATGAATGAATGAATGAATGAATGAATAAATAAATAAATAAATAAATAAATAAATAAAATTTCACTTAGTGACTGGCTGCTTGAGTGGGGATTGTTGTGCCTTATTGCTTTGAATGTGTTTTGGTGTTCCTTTGGTCTACCATATTTAGTGGTATGTTCTTACAGGCAGGTGGACTGTAGCATTCAGGGGTGTTTTTTGAAGTAGCAAAATAACTACTGCAATTATTTTTAAAAACACAAAGCTAAACAGTTCCTTTTTAAAATAATAACTGTAATGGTAGCAAATTACTTCTGGGATCTCGACCAGAACTATAACTGTAACGAATTCCTTTAAAAAGCAACTTTTTAGTCTCTTAAAGGAAGAATTTCTTAGTCTTTTTCTGCTCTGTAACTTTAATGGTGGATGTCACCCTTTAAGTTCTAATCCCAGCAATGATAGTAAAAATGACTTAAGGACAGTTTTCCACTCAGAATTCATAGACCATTTTTAGCTCTCTCCTAAGCAATTAACATCTTGGAATTATTCTCCCATGAGTCATATGGGCGGCAATTGCAGCAAAAGTCACAAGAAGAAAGACTGGTTACTGTAAAACCAAAGGGCCAATACTCCTTTTTTTTAACTAACTGGGCTTTTTTTTGGTGGGGGTGACCTGTTGTGATGGCTCATGGAGTCTCACAGAATTACTATGCTTCTCTGGTTCTCAAAGCAAGGGGCAAGATTTTAGAGTGGAGAAGATGCAAGCTGGGTCTTGTGTGTGCAATGGTTTTAAGTTCAGGGTAACTATCTCCACCCATTCCCAACTGGCACCAAGGATCACTGGCTCAGAACAAAGGTGTTAGAGTGAGTTGCTCCAAAACACACATGAGCCCAAGTACATGCGTCTATGTGCTCTCTCCCAAGTTTCCTCTCTTTGCTCTCAGTTTTTTGTTTGTTTTGACACAAACCAAGGATCACTGGCTCAGAACAAAGGTGCTAGAGTGAGTTACTCCAAAACACACGAGTCCAAGTACATGCCTCTATGTGCTGTCTCCCAAGTTTCCTCTCTTGCCTCTCAGCTTTTTGTTTGTTTTGACACACCAATGTTGGATCCATTGTCCTATTTAGGCCAAGAGAGGAAATGGATCACCAGCACCATGACTCATTAACCTTCTTGTACAGCAAGCTCTGGCAGCAGCACAAAAGTGGGAGAAAACTCCCCTTCCAATCTACTGCCAGCCCTACTTCAGTGAGATGTCAAGAATGGATCCCTTGGTCTCAGATTTTTTGGCCCTGAAATCCTTGACCCAGCCACTCCTGCTCTTTCAGGAATGAGTTTGGTAGGTGTGAGGAGAACTGGTGGTGCAAGGGAGGCTTTATCAGGAGCAGATCCCAGAAACATTAAAGGGGGGAAAAACCCAAGGATGACCATCTTTATTTTTGTTTCTAAAAGCCTAACTACATACTTAAAACAGTCACATCTGCTGTAGCTGAGGCATTTTCCATTGTCCTTCTCATTCCAAACACTGTCAACAACATTGTGTGGCTTTCAGGAGGCTTCTTGAACTCATAAAATATTATGTTGTGGTGGCACTAGTCACAGGGTTTTCCAAGAAGTTGTGAGGAGAAATCACAGAAGACATGGGTTTCTTGTATCTCAAAATATGTGGGACCTATGTGAGACTTATTCACAATTCTTTAAGTCCATTAGGCCAGGTAGAACAACATACCCACACAGCTTCCGGAATTGAACATTTGGTGCCTACTTTATGGGGTGCTTGAATTCTGAAAGAACTGTTTTCACACCATCCATATTGGACAAGGATGGATATATTTGTTACTAGTTGTCAACTTGTCACTTTAGGTATAAGGGCTTTTTCCATTCCCCCCCCCCACTGCCCTTTGCCTTTTTTATTCCTTCCCCTTCCCCATTACCCAATAGTTTTGAAAATAAAATTAAAAAATACTGGAAAAAAAAACTTTAGGTATAAGGGCTTAACATTATGCAACTGATCCATGCTGTAGCTTACTGAGGTAGTAAAATGAGGAGAGGGAAACAGATTAATGGCCATTGAGGATTCAGACTCACCAAGAGTTCAGAGATGGGAGCCCTGGGTCCTCCAGATGTTTTGGTCTCCCAGCCCCACCCAGCTTAGCCACTGGTAAAGGTTTGGGGAATGGTTGTCCGCACATTTCTGCACTTGTACTCTAACTTTTGGGAACATTTGAGAAGAGGGGGATCACTTAGAAGACTGGGATAACTGCTGGAACTGGGAACAATGATTTAACCAGATGTTAGCTGGCATACGGCTTCACCACGGCAAAAGGCTGACTACTTGAGGAGCCAAAACAGGGATGTGCAGCTGCTCATCCGTGTAAGCATTATGGAAGCAAGGATCTAACCATAGCTTGGAACTATTTCTTTTACCTACAACTCTAAAATTCTGACAGCCAGGGATTGTCCAAATCACCAATGCTTGTAAAGCAAATAAACGTTGTAGCAAATTTGTGCTCTCGTATTGGCACCCACTGTTTTCCTGCTGATATAGATGCCTGAAGAAGTGAGTATTAAAAAGAGATATCTTTGAGGCTGGGAGAAGACTCTAGTGGACTGACAGATCCCTATGAAAAATGAGACAAACCTCTTCCTCTCACTCACAGAGTACATTATCCTTTTTCTGTCCCTTCACCATCCCATCTCTGTTACCAAAGACCTCTGGCATAGTGTGAGAGCTTCATTCAAGACCACCAGAATGGCTTAAGGGAGGATGAAACAAAGAGACTGGGAGCTGTAAATAAGGGAGATGTACACAAGAGAAGGTTCTGCCTGGATTTCACTGCTATTTATTTATTTATTTATTTATTTATTTCCTATCCTATCTAATCAATTAAGATTACTCTAGGCGGCTTCTAACTAGTCTCTCTGAACTGTGTTGGAAAATATGCTCTAGAATACTTCCTGAAATACAGGATTTTAAAATGTTTTAAACTTATTAATTCCTTCCCCCACTCTGTAGGTTGAGCTCATTGAATACTGGGGATACCCCTGTGAGCTATATAAAATCACAACAGATGATGGCTAAATCAATTAAGATTACTCTAGGCGGCTTCTAACTAGTCTCTCTGAACTGTGTTGGAAAATATGCTCTAGAATACTTCCTGAAATACAGGATTTTAAAATGTTTTAAACTTATTAATTCCTTCCCCCACTCTGTAGGTTGAGCTCATTGAATACTGGGGATACCCCTGTGAGCTATATAAAATCACAACAGATGATGGCTATATTCTTACCATGTTCAGAATTCCACATGGCAGAGTGAATGAAGTCAGCAGAAACACAAGTTGGTATTCTATAACCTTTTTAACTTTATTTCCTCCATAAACTTACAAAATTAATTTAATGTAATGTTCTAAAATTCCAGAGAGTGATTTTTAAAATGCAAAGAAGGTAGGTGAACACTTATAGCATGTAACTCAGAACCAAATGAATGTTGCAATTGTTGTAATTGGTATGTGTAATTGTGTAATTGGTATGTGTTATGTGTTATGTGTGTAGAGAGAGAGAGAAGGAGGGAGGGAGGAGGGAGGGAGGGAAGAAAGAGTGAGATATATCTATTTTTTTAATTTGGGCCAAAATCTAGAATAGACCTTATGACCAGAATCCAAAATCCCCACTGATTCAATGGGACCTGTTCTAGTTGCAACTTACTAGTGAGGAATAAAAATTTACTAGTTGCAACTTTGTTGTTGTTGTTTATTTGTTAAGTTGTGTCCGACTCTTCGTGACCCCATGGACCAGAGCATGCCAGGCCCTCCTGTCTTCCACTGCCTCCCAGAGTTGGGTCAAATTCATGTTGGTAGCTTGATGACACTGTCCAACCATCTCGTCCTCTGTCGTCCCCTTCTCCTCTTGCCCTCACACAACATCAGGGGCTTTTCTAGGGAGTCTTCTCTTTTTATGAGATGGCCAAAGTATTGGATCCTCAGCTTCAGGATCTGTCCTTCCAGAGAGCACTCAGGGTTGATTTCTTTCAAAATGGATAGGCTTGCTATCCTTGCAGTCCAGGGGACTCTCAAGAGTCTCCTCCAGCACTACAATTCAAAAGCATCAATTCTTCGGCAGTCAGCCTTCTTTATGCTCCAGCTCTCACTTCCATACATTGTTACTGGAAAAACCATAGCTTTGACTATTCGGACTTTTGTCGGCAAGGTGATGTCTCTGCTTTTTAAGATGCTGTCTAGGTTTGTCATCGGTTTCCTCCCAAGAAGCAGGAGTCTTTTAATTTCGTGTCTGCTGTCACCATCTGCAGTGATCATGGAGCCCAAGAAAGTACAATTTGTCACTGCCTCCATATCTTCCCCTTCTATTTGCCAGGAGGTGATGGGACCAGTCGCCATGATCTTAGTTTTTCTGATGTTGAGCTTCAGACCATTTTTTGCGCTCTCCTCTTTCACCCTCATTACAAGGTTCTTTAATTCCTCCTCACTTTCTGCCATCAGAGTGGTATAATCTGCATATCTGAGGTTGTTGATATTTCTTCCTGCAATCTTAATTCCTGTTTGGAATTCATCCAGTCCTGCCTTTTGCATAATGTATTCTGCATGTAAGTTAAATGAGCAGGGGGACAATATTCAGCCTTGTCGAACTCCTTTCCCAATTTTGAACCAATCAGTTGTTCCATATCCAGTTCTAACTGTTGATTCCTGTCCCACGTATAGATTTCTCTTGCAATTTACCCTCCAGCAATTTAATCAGTTGCTGAAGGGTAGCCACTGAATGAATTATCCAGCAGTTCTTAATAACCTTTGAACTGCAGAGCTGGAAGGGACCCTATGGGTCACTGAGTCCAGCCCCTCTCAAGGAGGCACAGTGGGGAATCAAACTCCCACCCTCCGGCTCCGTAACGGTATGTCACCAATTATATAAATCCCAGAGACTCATTGCTTATGCTCCAGTTAGCAATATAATAGTTGTGTGGTAGAATAAAAACCCCTGTCTAAAACACTGGATCATTTACTGGGTCTTTTGTTCTTTCAGGTGCAAAGCCAGTGGTTTTTCTACAGCATGGTTTGCTGGTAGATGCTGTTTGCTGGTATCAAAATCTTCCTAATGCCAACCTGCCTTTCATGTTAGCAGACGCTGGCTATGATGTTTGGCTAGGAAACAGCCGAGGAACCACTTGGTCTAAACAACATAATTTCCTTGCACCTAATTCAGTGGAGTTTTGGGAATTCAGGTACACTGTTTTTTTCTTGCTTCTTTATTGCATGCAAATACATGTTGTTGGGTAGAAGCATTTGGTTCCTGTTGCAGCTTCCAGTGATGTTTGGAAATGCAATATATCCAGTTGAGAATTTTATTTCTTTGCAGCTTTGATGAGATGGCCAAATATGACCTTCCAGCATCTATAGATTTTGTTTTGCAGAAAACTGGACAGCAACAAGTGACTTATATTGGTCATTCACAAGGAACCACTATAGGTAAGCATAGGGGGTTGCATGTTGGAAAATTTAGGGCTTTTCTCTCTTGAAAGTGGCAGCCTGACATACATTTATCCCAGCAGAAGCCACACAAACACAATGAAATCTAACTCTGCAGAAGTGTCCACAAAATGGCACGGTAAATGTCTTTATTGGGATGTACACATTTCAGTTATTTCAGAGATAGTGAAAAAGGTATCTAATATTTCACTCTATTTTAAAGATGTCTTTGTTACTGAAGCAACAACATTTGTTAGTATCACTTTTAGGAGTAAAAAAACATGGAATAATAGGGGACTCTTTTCAGCAGTTTGTATCTAAAATTTGGTCCTTTCATTTTATCTCTCTAACACCTTTTCACCTGCAGTATAACAACCTTTCCTTTTAAGAAAGCTTTTAAGTTACAGTAACTATTTTAATGTTATTGGAAACTATTTCATAGTGCAATCCTACACATGTTTGTTTAGGAAGAACAGATGTGCATTCCCTCTTTTGAAGGTCAACTTTATTTTATCACATGCTTTTTGATTACCGCACTAATCTCTTCTGCCCTTAACTTCCCCAAGTTCACTTAACATTTGATTATTTTAATTTATTGTCACTAGCTGTATGTTGAGAAAATGTATGATAAAAACGTCAAAATAAAATCAATCAATCAATCAATCTGGTGGTGATTCTGAACGCTTTCCCTTCTGTCTAGAAATATTCAGGTAAACCAGTGGTTTCCAACCTCGGGTCCCTATCAGAAGCCTTCACCACTAGCTGTGCTGGCTAGGTTTTCTAGGAAGCTGATGTCCAAGAATATCTGGGGATCCAAGATTGGGAACCACTTGTCTAGATTTTGGGCAGATTTCTGTAAAATTTGACTTTGTCTTCTCAAGGTTGGGAACCATTAACAATATATGCCTGGCGGAGTAGGAAGATCTCCAAGACACTGATGGATATGAAAAACAAATTTATATATTAAATGTTTTCAGAAATAATGCAATCAAGACTTATGTTTTGGCAGGTTTTGAAGACCTGATTTAAATAAATAAAGACTCACCCCGAGAATGATACAGAAGATAACGGGAAAAGTTGTTCATTTAACCTTGAGACTGATTAGCAGGGATATTGGCAAGTCTTTGGGTCCAAGTCCCAAGTCTAAGTCTTTGGTACCAATTTCCTATTAAAAATAAGCTTTTTTCCCCAGAAAAAGGGAGGGGTGGATGGGTTCCGAGTCATGTGTCGCTCAGGAAAAAAAACAACACCAAGTTGAGTTGCTGGTGTAATTTAAGTCCGACTTAACAGCGAGTGTCACGACCCAAGTCCCCCTCCCTGTTGATCAATGTAATTTTTAGAAAACTACACATCTAGTTTTCTATCAAGCAAAAAGATCAGCAGGCTACCTGTACAAACTTCACAGGTGACTTGTTCAAAGAAGTTGATTTCTTTGAAGTTGAATTATTTAGCATTTGGTTTCTTCTTTTTCTCCCCTTCAGCTTTCATAGCATTTTCTACCAATCTTCAGCTGGCTGCAAAAATCAAGCTGTTCATTGCCTTAGCTCCTGTGGTCACAGTTAAGCATGCCACAACTCCACTAGCCAAGCTTTCCATAATTCCTGATTTTCAAATCAAGGTATGTACCTGTGGTTGTTTTGGCTTCTGAAAACTTGCCAGAATGTGGGCCTGATCCTCATGACAGCAGAATTCCAGAGCTTGGAATTGGTTGTGCATGCGGGAAACCATTAATCCAAATTAATATTTACCAACCTTGAATCCCCTGACCAACTCTCCTCAGACTGAAGAAGCTACTTGGATGAGTAGTGAAATGTTTTAATCTACATAATAAGAAAGAAGTCCAGTTGCCATGACTCATCTTCCAGACAACCTCACCTGGATGACTGAGAATCTTCGCAGAAGTCCCCTGATGTTCTTGGACTAAAACTCCCAGAAGCTTTCACCACTAATTGTGTTGGCCAGGATTTCTGGGAGCTGTAGTCCAAGAATATCTGGGGATCGAAGATTGGGAACCACTTGTCTAGATTTTGGGCAGATTTCTATACAATTTGACTTTGTCTCAGTCCTCTGCCTAGTCTGAACCCTGGGGAGAAGCATGTCAGCTTCGCGCTGCAATAATACGCAGAGTTATCTGATTGAAGACACACACACTTCTTCTGTAATTAGACATGTGTATTATACAAATATATACAAATATACAAACTGGCAGCACTTTGGCGTAGCAGGCAATCAACAGGCAAACTGGCATAGAGGATAGCAGCAAGTGAAAGAAGGAGAAGATACATTAATGTTCATACAGTTCACGTCTTCTGGACACACTTATATACAGTTCCACAGCTTCTTCTGGACGCAATCACAGGACGCATTACATCATCTTCTCCATGTGGGTGTCACCTCTTCTCCAGACATTGCATCATCCTTTCCTCTGTCACAGTGACTCAGCAGTCACACAGCTGTTCATTATGGCAGCTCATTAATGTTCCCTTTAATACATGTTCAGGCCTATAAAATTACAATACCTTGACAAAGCACAGGCACTCAAATTTCTGTTTGTTGATTGTGCTATTAAGGGCTAGTTTGGCCTCTTTCTGCCCCCAAGGCTAGAAGACAGGCTCCAAAGTCCCCACCCTGCTTAGAGGGCATGTCCTCATGCCTCCAGGTCAGTTTCCTGCCTCACTTCATTGGCTGTGATATGGCGGTGATCTGTTCCTCCAGCCATACTTTTTAAGACCTCAGATTCAGGATGCAGCAGACAGACAGCATCTGTACCCCACCAAGATATAGTAAAAACATCTGGTATCTGTAGGGATCTGATGCAGGGAGCAGCAATGGCCTGCCCCACAACGAGAGATCACCACATAGGAAACAAGGCTAGCCAGGAAATGGGGAGAGTGTCTATGCCATCATGGGTACTCTGGGGCTCCTCTCCTGAGAGAGGCAACAGTAGAAATCTTAGTCTTGATATCCTCTGGAAAACTGAGTGGGATTTACATATGTGTTGACTTCTCATTCATCTGTTGATTCAGTGACTCTACTGTGAGTTGGGACTATCAATAGGATACTGGCCTATATGGTCTATCTATCCTATGCAAGTCCAAATTGTATTTCATTGCAATATCACTTAAGTGGAGAACTTTGCTAAGAATTATATATCTCATGCTGTATGTGATTGCTTATAATTTGGAAATGTTAAATGTTTTTCCTATTAGTGAAACTAGAATAATTAAGATTCTTCCTGCCTTTTTGCAGCTCCTATTTGGAAACAAAGACTTCTTGCCAGAAACGAATATTGGAGCTACTGTTAGGAGTACACTTTGCAGCCAGGATATATTGGCACCTATCTGTAGCAACTTGCTATTCATAATATGTGGCTTTAATGAAAATAACTTAAATATGGTAGGTAGAATCTGTACCATTCTGTCTCTCTGTGCCACCCACATGCTCCTCCTTAATTACTCAGCTAGCCAGTGAAACCCTCTCATATATCTACATTTTGATGAAAGCCAATTAACTATAGAAACCAGTCTTCTGTTTTGGTTGCTCTGTGAGAAAAACTCTGATCATATGCAACTATTTGGTCTTTCCTTACTGAAAATCACCATCATCAGATTACATTACCAGTGGGGGAGATTTTCAGTAATAAAATAATCCTATCGTCCCATAGAAAGCCTGCAGGAGAGAAAGAAGTCTTTCAATACAAAAATCCTTCCCCTGCTGGTGAGAACATCACACTTCTGCACGTATAGTTACCCCAACAGGATTTCAGTCATTATTGTGCTGAGCAATGCATTTTATTGTTTGTTAAGTGGTATGTCTGCATTTCCAACCCTGTAAAGAAGGGCAAATAGCAAGATTTCCTTTGTTCATATATCTCAAAAGAGGAGTTGCCAGCACATGAGACCTTTTAACAATTTTTATGTCCTGGATATCAACCAAAGCAATCCTGTATGTTTATTAGGAAGGAAAATATATCTTTTCAGAGTTCCCCTTAACTCCATTAAAATCAACTTAGCACAGCCAGCATGTGAGTAAAGGACACCCTCAGGCCTAAGCTACTATACACTACAAATAGTCAATTACGGTATTAAAAGGCAGAGGTCCTCTGTCAATCCGAAAACAGCAGCAGGAACTTTTCACACTTCTTGTATGTACTTTGCAAATTAACTTGCTTTGTTTTTATGAATGGTTTTGGCTGCTGAACATGTACTGTATTTTGTTTGCAAATATAACTGCTCAGTGAGGGAGAGGTGCCTGAATCATATCTCCGCAACACAAATGGATTCCAGTTTCAGTCAATGGACTATTGATAACATAGATGCCAGAATCTTGTTTGTTGTGTAAGCCAGTGCAAGCGCAATGGCATAAATCACAGCACTAAACTACTGCTAGTTAAGAGTTAGCACTTGAATATCTCACACTTTCCTGTAAAATGACTCGGTACACAACAAGGAAGGCAAGTGTCAGATTTTTATGTAGCAGCAATTCACCACTGATTTATGTCACTACACTTACACGGGCATAAGTAACCAATAGAATTTTTCTTGTAAGAAGAACATTCAAACTGACCAGCCAACAAGCTTTGAAGATCTGGCTATACACTACAGCTACATACACCAATAGTGTGTAAATACAGATCTGGATGTCCTCAGTAGACTGATGTCTCAACAAGATTTCTTGTTTAGGCATGTATAACAGAGAAAATGGGAGGAACAAAGCTGTATTTATTTCATTTTTAGTGGAAGAAAGTAACCAAAAGACATTTCATCTTTCAGAGCCGACTTGATGTGTATTCAGCGCATGCCCCAGCAGGAACATCTGTACAGAATATAATCCATTGGAAACAGGTAGGTTCCCTGAAGTTCTAACTTTAACATTTTGTACTTTATACAGTATATCTCTGAATAAAAGCTTTAGCAAAGTATTGTGTAAAATCTATTCTAGCCTGCTATAAATGCATGATATAGCCATCATGATGATTCTGATGAGTAAAAAAAATCAGTTTATTAATTAATTAAATTTATATGCTGCCCACTCTACCCAGAGGTCTCTGGGTAGCTTGGCTGAAAGCAAATGACATAACTTGCTGCAGCTTTTCACCTTTTATTATGATATACTGCTGTATTCTGTACATTTAGTCAGTGTTTGGAACAATTATTTTTTTGAACACAGTTCCCAGAATCCTCTGGGCAACAAGGCCATCGTAGTCCAAGAAGTAGAACTCCCCCAAGCTCTGATCTTTGTACTTGTAAGTCTGTATGAAGGAGTGCCACAGAGGACTTCTCTGCCTTCCAATCGAGTCAAAGCCAATTATTCTAGAGAATTTCCAGATTCTAAGAGCTTCAGCCCCAAGTCTATTGGAGGGTACCGGTTTTTTAAAGGATGGCAAGGCAATAATCACAGCAATGGGGACTGGTTTCAGATCACTTATTTTGTAACACAGGAAGGTATTTCATTGTCTGTATTGAAGAAAAGGTAGTCCTGTCAGTCTAATGAGTATTTGTACACAGAATGAGAGGCACTTGTTGATTGTGTCCATGCTACTGATTACATGTGGCCAAACACTGATTCACCTCAGAGACTTTTGCCAATTTACTTGTTTTGCTCTGTGGTTGGTCTTCAGGGCAAGACACGTTCCTCTTTTGTAAGCCTGATTTCCCAGACATGACATAATTCCTTAAATGGTGCCTCTTGAATGCCTCTTGAATGCTGAGGAGATTTCAGCTGAAACAACAGGTTGTTTGTAATGTACAATTTGTCCCGCAGACAGGTATTCTGAGCGAAGGGATTTTGGTGTGGATGCAACACATTAGGATGTCTGTCTTGCCACTTTTCTGCATTCCATGTAAGCAGAGCTCCCTGAGCACAAAGGACAATGGGGACACAACTCAAACCTTGTCCCCGTGATCATGTTGCTTCCCTGCCCTCATTGTCCACACGTTGAGCATGAAGCATAAACGTTGGAGTGGAGCCTCGCTGAGCCTTACACTTGTGGGCATGCTTTTAAACATTGATCAGGACTGCAGTCTTTGACAACTAGAACATAAAAATCTTCAATACGAATCTGTAGGCAGCATAGGAGGAGAATGACAACAACAACAACAACAACAACAACAACAACAACAACAACAACAACAACAACAACAACAACAACAACAACAACAACAACAACAACAATAATGTGCAAGTCAGTTCTGACTTATGGTGACTTTTTCCAGGTTTTTTAAAAAAGATAGACAGTATCCAGAAGTGGTTATGGACGCATCCTGTACATCTTCCCCAAGGTTACACAGGCTGGCTTGAATGCACAGTGGGGAACTGAACTCTTAAACTTTGGCTCTGCAGTCAGGTAATAAGCTAGCCACCAAGGGAGCCTACATAGTGTACTGAGGGTCATATGGTTTCTCTCCACCTGCTTTACTTCTTTAAAGGCAGAATGAACCTATCCTGTGATTATTAGCTAAATGATGAATACTATGTTTTGCTAGGAACATGTCTTTTTTTTTTTGCAGTGTTCATACTGCTAGTACAAAATACATATGCATATTGCTGGATAGCTCAATGGTTTAGGTCTCTGGCTGCAGAAGTTGAGAGTTCAATTCCCCACTGTACCTCCTTGATAGGGGCTGAACTTGATGATTCATAGGTTCTCTTCCAGCTCTGCAGTTCTAAGATTATTAAGGTTAATAATCTTAATAATTTTAAAATTCCTTTATATTTGCAGGCAGTCAGGAGTGGTAAATTCCAAGCTTTTGATTATGGATGGAGAGATAATCAAGCTATTTATAACCAGGTACAAAAATTTCCAGGAACTATTTTATGTACCGTAATCTAATTATAGTGTAGCAATCCCTTCGTAATGGAGTGCTGGAAATGACTGGCTTTCTAACCCGACTGACATGGCTGCTGCAATCCCCAGATCAAAAATCTCATTTCCCACATGGATCAGAGATGGACAACAGGTGGCTTTCCTGCTATTGTGGATCCAGCCTAGCCAGCATATCCAGTGATAAGGGATTGTGTGATTTACAGTCTAACAACCCTCTGAAGAGCTGCAAGTTGCTCACTGCTGATAATGAGTCAAAGAAGATTCGGGAAGCTGGACATCACCTGATGCACCATAGTAGCTGCTGGTTGCTGTAACTGAGCTACCAGAACAGACGAAGTGCTAGAAATATATGGCTGGAGATGGATGTAGGACAGTAACAATGGTGAATGGATTCTTCAAATGCATTCCTGGTTTTAAAATTTGCACACCGATATACTTATGAACAGGCCCAACACCTCCTCTTCAAATGAGTTGTGCATCTTTAATGAAGGAAAAAGTAAATCAGAAGGGGTGTGTGTGTGTGTGTGTGTGTGTGTGTGTGTGTTACAGGCCTGTAAATATGTGCCTGTCTAATATTCACATAGAAGAATCTTCAAGATTATGTAGTAGTGAAGTATTTTATGGAACTCTTGACAGGAGAAAAGAGAATTTGAATGTGAACTATTGTTTGCCTAAATTAAACACAATTGTGCAAATAACAAACATAATGCTTCAAAAGTCAAATGTGCATTGTGCAAAATGTTGATACCTGCTTTTTTTAAAAAATGGACTTCTAAAAATTAGAAGTATTGAAGAGGATTGCATGTTTTTTTTAAATTAGAAGGAATCAATTTGTGTTTGCTCTATGTATGTGTGCTTATGTTTGCATGCGTACTTGGAAGTGACATTGTTTTACGTAGAGACGATTTACATGAGTTGTGGTTAGTATAAGAAGAGGTGGGGGAAATGGTGCTCTCACTTAGAGGAATCTTGCAGAGCTTGAAAAGTCTGCCTGGGCATCTCTTCAAGATGGCCTAATTAAAACACATGACGAGTCGAGCAAGTGTTCTTTACATCCTAAATATGTTTTCCTTATTTTCTTAACTGAAGATGCTAAAAAAATGATTGAAATTGGGGTTAATGGAGAAGCTTTATGCTCTGTATAATAAACTGTATGTTTCAGTTACTGGATGAGAAGCTTTATGCTCTGTATAATAAACTATATGTTTCAGTTACTGGATTTTGCACTAAGTCAAGGTTACAATCAGTAACAGCTCCTGAGGAACAGAGTCAAAGTAACTGGTCAAGAAGTCCACAGGTGCAGCCTTACACATAAAAGCCAGGCAGGAATTTTGGTGGTGGTGGTAGTAGTAGTAGTTTTGTATTGTACTTTTTCTTTCTTTCTTTCTTTCTTTCTTTCTTTCTTTCTTTCTTTCTTTCTTTCAGCCTGCCCCTCCTGAATATGATCTGACAGCCATGACTGTCCCAACAGTGGTTTGGAGTGGTGGAAATGACTGGCTTTCTGACCCAACTGACGTGGCTGCTGCAGTCCCCCAAATCAAAAATCTCATTTCCCACGTGAGAATTCCTGAATGGAACCATCTGGATTTTGTGTTTGGTCAAGATGCACCCGAAAAACTGTATTATAACATCCTTAACTTGTTAAAGGAGTAACTGGGGCCTGAAGAGCAGTGAACCAGTGCTGTGAATAAATAAATGTTTTGTCACCAGAAACCAAGAAACCAGGGTTTTCTGCTTACCTGGTTTTTTCTTCAAAAGATAAGCTTTCTCAATCATTACCAAAAAATTGTAAGAATATAATAATAAAAATGCCCTGTCAATTCAGTTCTGACGTATTTTGTACATAGAAAATACAAGCCACTCAGAGTGGTCGATTTGACCAGATGAGCGGGATATAAATCAAATCAAATAAATAAATACATTTTATTATTCCTTTCTTTTAAGGGCAACCTGGGACTGTGCAGGTTCCCCAAGCCTTATACAGACTTGCTCTTCTCCCAGGAGGCACAGTGGAGAATTATACATATATATATATATGGGTGGAGAGCTCAGTGGCATAACATGCTACGGAATCAAAGGTTGGGAGTTCAATTCCCCACTGTGCCTCCTGGGAGAAGAGCAAGTATATAAGAATATATAATTCCTTTTCAATTCCCATTTTTCACCCCAGAGCCTGTTTTATATGCTTCGCAGTTCAACTGGCTTGGATGCAAATATTGCTGTCTTCTTCTCCAGCTTACCAAGGGTTACAAGTAGAAATGGGGGTACTGTATTTATATTTATATACAAATATGAATACCCCCATATAGGTGGACATAACGAGGGTCCAGCTGCCTGGGACCAAACCGTCCTCTCACTTTCCGCTGCTGCTGTGGGCTTTGCGCTCCCCTCCTATCGCTCCAGAGCTTGTGGTCGACTAGCCACTCCTGGCAGGAGGTGAGACGACGAGCGTCCCTGCCAGGATGAAGAGTGGCCAAATAAGTAGTTGTACCTGATGGATGCTTTCTTTAACATGCAGTTCTGTTCGTTTGGTGTCAAGATCCATGATGTTTGAAAACTCATGTTGGTCTTCAGTTGATGCCCTGAAGATGGTATCTTACAGTTCAGGAAAAATCAGGAAAACACCACATGGACGTAGAAACAATACAGATGCAGGAACAGGTGATATCTTTAATTGATTATTAAGAATATAAAACAATTTTTTAAAAAATGGCGAGCTTTGATGATGATAAATCATCTTGAAGGCTGTGCATCAGGTTCTTATGGGTACTGTATTTTATTGTGTCATTGAAGAGGTTAGCACTTTATTCTTTATCCACTAGATGGCAATGTAAGACCAGATATGTTCTGAGCATGTTCCAAGGAAGGTACATTTTAAATGTTTTGTTTATATAATAATAATACTCTTAGAACTGGAGAGCTGGAAGGAGCCCTGTAGATCACATGTAGATCATCGAGGCAGCCCCAGTCAAGGAGGCTACATGGGGAATCAAACTCCCGACCTCTGGCTCCGCAGCTGGATCTTCCTCATAATAATTCAACAGATATTATGGCTAAAATAGTAGCAATGTTTTAGAAATAATAAGTAAGTGAAATTATCCAGAGCCTAAGCAACAATATGAATACTGTATTTTTGAAATACAGTACTGGCCTGGCTTATTAGATAAAATAAAATGTTTGTTGTAATCAGTCCCTGTAAGCAACTGAAATACATTGAAACGATTTAATTTCAAATGATGTACAGTGGTGCCTCGCTTAACGATTGCCTCACTTAATGAGGAAATCGCTGTACGATTAGGTTTTTGCGATCGCAAAACAATGGTTTAAATGGGCCTTTTTTGTTTAATGATGATTGGTTCCCTGCTTTGGGAACCGATTTTCGCTTTACGGTGATCAGCAAACAGCTGATCGTCAGGTTTCAAAATGGTCACCAGCTGAAGAAAATGGCCCCCGCTGTTTTTAGGAAGGCTTTTTCGCTTAACAGGCACCAGAAAATGGCCGCTGTATGGAGGATCTTTGCTGGACGAGCAGGTATTCAGCCCATTGGAACGCATTGAACGGTTTTCGATGCGTTTCAGTGGGGTTTTTTATTTCATTTGATGGCATTTTCACTCTACAGCGATTTTGCTGGAATGAATTAACGTCGTCAAGTGAGGCACCACTGTAATAACAATTATAGTGGCTGGTACCTCAGTCAGAAGCTGAAGAAACAGAAGTTATAGATAATGACAACAAATATTTAAAACAAATGGATAAAACCTTCACTATAGGTTACAGGAAGGAAGGATGAAAACCCCCATGGCTATAGCCTTTGCAATTGGGTCAGATCATCATAGGCATCCTTCAGTCTCGAGAGACTATGGTAACATGTTCTGTATGGAGGACTTCAATGCTGTATGCGAAGCCAGAGTGTCCTCTCCAGAGCACGAAGCCTGGGTAAAATAATATGGAGGATAGGCTGTTACCCAAGCAGCAAATCCCCCCTCTCCACATCGCTGAAATAGTCCAATGGAAAGGCAAGAGCCAATACAACTGGTTCCAGCGACGTCTCAGGAGTTGGCAGAACGACACGAACTGCCTCTGGGACTCCGGCTCTGGATCTTGCCTCAAGGTTGACTCCTGAATCCTTTTCCATCAGTGGATATAGCCACAAGGCAGTGGAGGTTTGAAATCAGAGTTTTTCTTCTCCTAGATGGGCTGCCTTCCCAGGCTGACGAGTCCTACCTACCCAGTCTGCTCCCTCGCCATTGGATCAGATATTAGGTCAGATAATCAGGGCTGCTTTTGGACAGTGTTCTGAAAACTTCAGTGGGCACAAAATACTGCAGCAAGATTGCTACCTGGGGCTGGTCGCAGGAATCACATAACCCTCCTGTTGGTACAGCAACTCCACTGGTTTCCGATCTGTTTCTAGACACAGTTCGAAGTGCTAGGTCTAACCTATAAAGCCCTAAGCAACTTGGGTCCAACTTATCTCAAGGACTGCCTTTTCCTTTATGAGCCTGCCCGCTGTTTAAATCATTAGGAGAGGTCTTCCTCTCTGTCCGGTCACCTTCACATGTGCATTTGGTTGGGACATGGGAAAGGGCCTTCTCTGTTGCTGCCCACAGATTCTGGAACTCCCCCGATGGAAGGTCAGGCTGGCTCCATCTTTGCTGTCCTTCTGAAAGCTGGGGAAAACCTTTCTTTTCCGATGGTTTTTTTTCCCCCTTGGTGACTGGCTGTCTGAGGGCTTGATTCTACTGACAAGAAGAAACACTGTTGTATCCCATTCTGCTCTTTAAAAAATGGTTTAAAATAAAACGTCTCCCTGACATTAACAGAAGAACAGGGAAACATGTTTTCTGATTGGAATGCGACGTAAAATACTCTTCCATCAGAGGTTTGCTTATTTTAACACACATGGGAAACCCGATTTTTTCCCATCATTTTCACATATATAAATCCCTCTGCCAATGCAAATTACACCTTTGGATAACCAGCGGAGGTGGTGGGAGAGGTGGCGACAGCAGCCGGGGGAAGGAAAGAGTGACAAACAGGCATGGAAAAAGATGGGACCAGTGTTTCTCATACAGCCACTCCTTGCTCTTGCTGTTGGCTGTTCCTTTAAAACTGCTCCTGCTGTACCCTGAGAGGCAGAGAGAAGCAGCATTTATGAAAAGAGGAATAGAAAGATACAGTTGCTTCACTTCTCCAACCCTGCAGCTCAGGCCTCGTTTGCCTCCCTCAGGATTGGACAGGCTCACATATGCCTCTTTTCCTAAATGCTTCTTCTCTCTACCTCCCAGGGAATAACAGGAGCATTCTTAAAGAGACAGAAGCCATCAGGCTTTCTATAGGGACAAGCAACTTCGCCAGCAGACCCTCCCTCGGACAGCAGAAGAGCAGGGGAGGCGGGTGGAGGACAAAGCCTCAAATGCAATGGTTCTAAAAGCCAGTGTAGCCCCCTCAACTGAAATATAGCACAGCTTAAAAATGGATTAAAATTATTCCCAAGAGGATGACACCACATGATTTCTAAATTGATTCCATTTAGAATGGAGTTTATTGTGAGGCAAATGTAAATGTTAAGAAGCCTGGGGTGTATGTTTGTTAAATAGAGCCTCGTGCCTTGCCTTGTTGCTTTGGATCCGTTTCCTGTGTTGGTTTTGTTTATCATTTTTTAGTGTGGTATTTGTTTGATTCTTTTAAACATTTGTATACTTGACTGTTTTTAGCTTTTAAATATTGTCTTTCAATGACATAAGCTATCTCGGTTCCTTTATAAGGAGAAAGGCAACTGGTTTTAGCTTTTAAATATTGTCTTTCAAATGACATAAGTTATCTCGGTTCCTTTATAAGGAGAAAGGTGGGGCCGAAATATTGTAAATAAACAAATATGTTTATGCAAAGAAAATATTATAATGCAGTTCTATGAAATAGAGAAAGTGGGAGAAGGAATATCTCATATATATGGGGTAAGAGGCCCATTATATTTTATAATTATGGTGAGTGCTAGATGATATGGCACTGGAATAATTATGGTGAGTGCTAGATGATATGGCTAATGACTCTATATTTGAAAAACCTAGAACAAACATTGGATCCCTGCCGTGAAAGCTTTCGAGAATACATAATAATAGTTTTCACTTTTTGAAATGCTTTTGTAGTCAAAGAATTTGCTTGATAAAAGTAGGAAAGCCTATTTGTGTCTTTGTAGCACTTCTTAGTATGAAGCTTATTTTCCTTCCCAGAATAGGAGAATGTTTTAGTATAAAGGGCATACATATTGAAAACTTTAAAAGGCTTGCAGTATACTTTCCGGCAGGGGCTGCTGCCTCCATTTAAGTGGAAACCATGTCTGACAGTAGCTACAGGAATTGATGGGAAATATGATCTATCCCCTCAACCTGTTTTTGAAAACAAGTAAACCAATCTTTGGCCAGCTTGCTTTCTGCTTTCTGTCCTGTTACAAGGCTCAAACTATGCAGGGATGACTATAAGTACTGTACCATCATCCAGCCCACCAGAGTTCATCAGGGTTGCTAACTGGAACAAGGCTCATTTTTCACGTCAGTGGCAATGTGCCGGTTGCTTCTACAGTCATGGCCAAAAATATTGACACCTTTGCAATTCTGTTAGAAAATGCAACCTTTCTCTCAGGAAATTGTTGTAGTTGCAAATGTTTTGGTACTCACCTGTTCATTTCTTTGGTTTGCACTGGACAAACACAAAAAACAGAGAAGAAAAGTCAAATCTGATACAATCCCACACAGAACTCCAAAAATACACTGGCCAAAATTATTGGCATCCTTAACTTAATATTTG